TAATTTGTGAAATAATCCTTCACATTTATAAAAACTTTCATGTGCACCTACCAATTTTCAAGGATTGGTTTTGTAAGGATTTTGTTTGACTGAATGGAGGATTTCATCATGAGCTGATGTCAGTGAGAGAACCATTAGAAAACCTGGGAATACTGGACAGCTGTTTCGTCTTAGTTGAGTCCCAATCAGTACGCACCCACCGGGGTTCGAACCCAGGATCATCTGGTTACAAGGTGAGCTTGTAACGTATCAAATAACATGAACCATTACAGCTGACCATGTTAGATATTGCATGAAATTTTTCCATAAACACATTACTGATCATTACTGCCTTTGTCTAACGAAAGGTGAATGTAGTATGATAAAATCAACCACTTGCGTACATCATTTGGAGTCAGGTATTTCAGTTCTCTATGAATTAGCTTTATGAAACAATCTATAAAGTTACACTGAAGGAAGCATCTTAAAAATCCCGTCAGTGTCACTTTGTATAGATGAAGTACCACCCATCGTGAGTGGAAATGACAAGCTCTATATTTAAAAGTTTCTCATCAAAACTTTATTAGTTGTAATCTTCACATCCTTATTTCCATCTATTTGGGAGTATGTCTGTATGAAGCAAATTATCAAGTCGTGTGTCCACTTATGAATGCTGTTGTAAAAACAGAAGACAAGGGCCAGACAACATATCCTTTATTAAGGAAATCAACACATATTTATAGATTTTCATATACATATTATCGATTATTGTTAGTAGAAAAACACAGTCTTCTGATTGGTTGTTTCTTACACAAAGTTAACCTTGCATCTATTTGTGACTGTTTCTTGAATGTCAGATCATCTATATGTTAACTGTATCCGCCTACGCAAAGCCTTTGTTCTCATTTTTCTCACGATCAATACTGGAGACACAAACATTGACGTAAATTAATGTCTACCAGCTTTCGGCTAGTAGCCAGCTCTCACCACACTGTATCACTTTGTGCTTTATCTAATATGAAATTATATTCTGCCACACTGCCCAAATTTTACTCTAACACTAATTAGTTGTTTTTATATATATATTTTTCTCTCCACTTCACTTCACTTCACTATCTATTTTATTGTTATTGCCACCACTGTTATTTCAGTTTTGGTTAACAGCTGATTGACTTTATGTCTCTTGAAGTTGACTTCCTTATCTGAAAACTCTTCGTGTTTTTCTTGAATTTCAATTCTGCCTCGCCTCACACTCACTCTTATTTTCAGGTATGTGTAAATCTCCTTACTGAATCAATCTTTGTGTTGATATTTAAATGTATAATGAGGCAACTTAATGCTTTTGTCACATATGTGACTCTAATTACTCAGTAATAAAAAAAGATTGGGAGAATTTAAACATTGGAAGGAGAAAAGTCTTGTAAGTCAGTTTTTATCCTTAGGATGATCAAACAGAATATGGAGACTGTGCATTATCTACGGTTGAACAGTACACCGCTTAATAAAATATCAGATATAATGCCCTCAAAGCGATGTAGCGGCCCCGTCAAATCACTGGGCTACCTAAATTTCCCGCAGACACGATGCATCATATTTTCTCTAATTCTTATTGTTTTAACCATTTAATTATGCTTTTTATTCACAAAGTGTACTCACGTCCATTTTTAATGGGTTTTCAACCTACCCGATTATGGATAAAGTTTCATTCTGGCAAATTACACACTGTTATACAGTTAATAATAACTGCATAACAGTGTGTGATTTATCAAAATAAAATCTTATCCATAACGGAGTTATACTCTACCACACTGCCCAAGTTTTATACTTATATCAATTACTCCAACTCACTAATGAGCATATATAAATGACGAAGGAAGAATACTGTGAAAGATTAGCACATGCTTCAAATAGAACAGCATAGCGTTACATGATATACTATAGCTTGCTTGGGTGAAAGGAAAATATTATGCAGTAATAAACGACACTAAAAAATTGTCAACATTTGGTTTGTAAGGATTAGATTTGTTTTGACGAGTTGATCACGGATTGATATCGGCTAGAGAACCATTGAAAACCAGGGAGTACTGGACATCTGTTTCCTCCAACCTAGTTTGGGAATCATCGGTAGTGCTCACCAAGTGGGGTTCGAATCCAAGACGATCTTTCAGTTAAAAGTCAAGCTGGCTCCTATATCATTCAGCCACCGGGACCTGATTCACTGACCAGTCCATGAATTCTAACTTCTACCAATTCGTGATTTAGCGCGATCATCAAACAATGCTGACGGTGGGATATTTATCTTCACACTTGATTGGATGGACCTCACTGGTCACGACTTCTCATTAGAACTTCAGGAAACTTAGTCCTGTAGCAAGTCAGTAGCGAGCATCAGATTGATTTTCAATAGTTGGTTTGTAAGGATTAGGTCCTGGTGCTCGAACTACGTGGGTGCGTACTGCTGATGATTCCCAAAGTGGGCTGACAAAACAGTTGATCAGTACTCCTTGCTTTTCAATGTTTCTCTAACTGATATCAATCCCTGGTCAACTCGTTAAAACTAAAAATACTGTACATAGTGCAAACAGTTTGTCCAGAATAAGGCTGTTATTGTTATTATTATGATTAAATGCTTTATTTACGCTGACTCAAAGTCGCGTGACGAACAAATGTTTTAATATGAAGTATTTTTATCATAAAACAATATCTTGAAACGAAATCACGGGAATGTTTGTTGTTTTCGCTTTGAAATACTCATAGTGAAAAATATGCGTATACAAGCAAACTATATAGGGTTTCGTAAGATGATTAATATAACAGTTGTTCTCAGAATCCAGTTATTTTACCTTATCATTTTGTTTTCAAAAATGATGCAAAGTAATTATTATTATTGTTGTTCCCTTGGGTTCCTAGTGGAACAAAGGGCTTCAACTGCACGTCTCCACTTGTTTCTGTCTTCTGCTGTACTTTTCACCTGCATCCATGTTAGTCTTACCCAATTATTCTACTTGGAATACTGAGTAATTCTAACTCATCCCCTGTCACTAGCAACGACATCTGGATAAATAAAACTATTTTAGTGAGCTTCATGTGCTCTAGTCAGATGACCGCTTGATTTAAATATTAAAATAAACATAGAATGATGTCCTGTTGTCAAACAATAAATTTATAACCGATTTTGTGTCAGTGTTTTCCTTTGGCACTTGTTTCTATCAGGGGGGAGCAAATGATAGCCTCCTAAGTTCTTCTTAGTGTAGCTTTCCTAATCTCTGAAAGAATAACTACGATCGGTATTGAAACAGAGACTTTAAAAAATGAGGAGGCATACCATGGCGGTAAACACTATTCCATGCCACGAGCAACTTTAAAAGTCATTTAAAACAGCTGCAGCTTTCTTACTTACCAGATATTCTTTTGGTGTTAACGTTGTTATATGGAAGGATGCCATCTAATGAACAGAGCAAATATATAACCAGGTATCAATGTAATGAAGAAGTCCTCATTTTTCCAGTTATAATAGTTAAGTGGAATCCTGTGACAATCGGGGTGCCACAATATCCAGTTCAGCCTTTGTAACCACGGGTAAATACTGTTGGGCTATTCAAGCATAGTACTATGAGTAAATCAGAATTTAGGCTTTTGTTGTATTACTTGTTGGGCTGCAGGAAGTTGACTGATTACAGGTTTGATCACGAGTTTATATCTGTTATAGAACCACTGGAAGCCACGGAGTACTGCAAAACTGCTAAGTCCTAGTCCAAGACTCTTCTGACCAAGCTTTTAAAAATTATCAAATATGCAACCGGCTTAACATTCACCTACAGGGTATATATATATATATATATATATATATATGAGAATTTCAAAGGAATGACTTTCCTACTTAAGCATTAAAACTCAAGTTAATCATTCCTTTACATCTGAGATTATACAGGATCTGTGTGAGAGTGATCATTTGGTTGCTATAGTTGAGAGATGCGGAAATGGAAATCCCAAGCAGACTATTTCACAAGTGACACTTCTGCTAACTATAAATCCTAACATCGTTAATATATGAGTAAAACTTGGGCACGGTGGTAGTAAGTGATCCCATATTAGTTTGTTTATTAGATGTATCATACAGTGAAACAGTATTATTTACTGGATGACAGAGTTTCGAACAAAATTTATTGTTCATAATCATACCAATCAATTATAATCACACGACTTTGAAACTTCGGTTTTATGGTTTCCTTTGTCCTCTCCTATTTGTCGTAGGGGCAGCAGAATTTTCCAGATATCTGTGACAGATGGTGAATCATTCCTATTACATGTATTTCCAGTTGATTCGATAAACAAAGCTTCTGTTATCAATCTCTCCCTCCACCCTGTGACATTCGATTTTAAAACTGTCATCCTATCCCATCCTATTGTATGGTTGTGTGTAGTTGCATGTAGTGGGTGCTATAGCTGAACTATTCTCTAGATTTCTTATCTTATTTGGGTCAACCGATCTAGATTTTGCTAGGTTTTTATGCTCGGCTAGTCTGACTGCACCTGTTCTACTAGTTTGACCTACATATTTGACCTGACAAACATTCCAACAGGATATTAGATAAACTAAATTGTTTTGTTTTAAAGACTCCACAGGATCCTTTAACCAACAAAGCTTATTTCTAATTGAGTTTGTGGGTGATTGAATACCGGCCACCTATACTCCTGCCTTGTTAAGAATTCTGCGTAAGGTTTTCGAGGTTCCTTCCTTGTATGGAATTACTACAGATGATTTAGATTCCTTATTGTTGGTATCGTCATTGATAATATCAATATTATCACTATAATTATTAATATCATTTACTTATTAACTCAAGTTTCAAAGTTGTGTGATTACAACTGATATGATTATGAACAATAAATATTGTTCGAAACGTCATCCTAACATCATTTTTAATCTCTTAGTCGGCCTCATTTTATTCAGCAACATGCAAACAATAACTGAATGTTATGTTTTCTTCTTTTCCATTCAAAACCTTTTTTATCTACAGACATTCGCTAATAGAATTTACGGTCCAGCTTGGTGGATTATGCCAATATTTGTTGCTTTTTCAACATTTGGTGGTGTCAATGGGAATATGTTGACTACTTCAAGAATATTTTTTGTGGCTAGTCAAGAGGGTCATATGCCAAAGTTTATTTCATTTATTCACAAAGATAAGTTGACACCGATTCCAGCTGTTATATTTACAGTAAGTTAGTTTATTACTATCCACTAATGTGCGGTTAAAATCTATTGATATTCAAGTGTTGGTTTGTAGGGATTTGATTGGTTTCAGGATTTCATCATGAGCTGACATTAGTTAGAGAACCATTGGAAAACCTGGGAGTACTGGACAGCTGTTTCGTCCTAGTTTGGGACTCTTCAGCAGTACGACTGGCCCTATTCAGGTAGGTAGCTACCTGGGTTCCAGTGGGAAGTCGTGACCAGTAGGGTTCAGCACGTCGGGTGTGAGGACAAATACTCGCTGAAGACATTGGCTAGCGGTCGCGCTATGTCGTGAATTGGCAGAAGTTAGAATTCATGGGCTGGCCATTGAATCGGGTCCCAGTGGCTTAATGGTATACGAGCTCGCCTTGTAACCGGAAGGTCCTGGGTTCGAATCCTGGCGATGGGTGCCTACTGCTGAAGAGTCCCAAACTAGGCTGACGAAACAGCTGCCCAGTACTCCCAGGTTTTCCAATGGTTCTCTAACTAATGTCAGCTCATGATGAAATCCTGAAAATCTATTGAGTTACAAACAAACAAACTTTATCAAATTAGTCAGTCAGATAAATATGACTATCACTGAAATATATTAAAGCTGATCTGAGTCGATTATTTTTGTTTTTTTTTAAAAATTATGGAAGATATTCAGAAGAAAATCTCACACTGAATGAAGTTTGGCTTTGTCTGACAGATATAAGAAAAAGATGTGTGTGTATGGAGTGGTCATTGAACTTATTTTTATTTAGGACAAAGGGATGCACATTTCTGGGATCTATATGCAATTGACAATCAATAGGTAAATGTGACTTACAACACTCGATTGTCCAGTATTTAGGGCCTCTGAATCTTAACTATGAAAGACGTAAAAACTTTAGAAGGTTGAATTTCTGGGCAAAAAAGAAAAGATATGCAGCAAGAAACTCTGGTGAAAAAATAAATCAACAATCGATCGCCCAGAAAATATACAGAAGGAAAGGGGGGAGATGCATTGAGCGTTCTCTGAGGCGACCATAAGGTGACATCACGTGTGACGAATGGGAAACGATGAGGTGGGCTCTGATTCAAGAGTAATATGGAGAAGAACATGTTAGAAGGGCATAAAAGTTTGTGGACAATCGTAGATTGCATGGTAGATTGATGATGAACTTTGAAGTCCTATGTACCATTCAGAATCCAAAGAAATAACAATATAATAATATCTATGTTATTAAAGTGATGGTTTGTAGGGATTTGATTGCTTTCAGGATTTCATCATGAGCTGACATCAGTCAGAGAACCATTGGAAAACCTGGGAGTACTGGGCAGCTGTTTCGTCATCCTAGTTTGGGACTCTTAAGCAGTAGGCACCCACCGGGATTCAAACCAGGACCTTCTGGTTACAAGGCGGGCTAGCTCGTAGACCAATAAGCCACTGGGACTCAATCCAATGTTCCTTGAATTCTAACTTCTGCCAATTCACGATATAGAGTACTGCGTGCGTACTGCTGAAGAGTCCCAAACTAGGACAAAACAGCTGTCCAGTACTCCCAGGTTTTCCAATGGTTCTCTAACTAATGTCAGCTCATGATGAAATCTATGTTATTAGTTCAAAATGATCACAGATTAAGTTTTGTGAATAACTAATTTCTCCACTTGTTTGGCCAGTTTTTCATTTGATGCTGTGTTAGGCTATTTATCACCGACTGATTGACTGACTGACTGAACGAAGAAGTGTTTCCTTTCTTTGACTCCTCTCTGAGGTAAATGAGTTAATTACTAACAGTTATATAGTTTAAGCTACTCGTTGAATTTTGTAAAATTATTAGGTTGCACTGTACAGATTTTTCACTGAATGGCGATCAGTATATCTATCTGTTCACTCCTCGGAGTTTATACAAGTCAGTAAGCTAAATATTACAAAACTGTTGTTTATTGCAGTGCAGTGTGAATTAAGAGTTTCCATTGACTTCAAGCTGCATGCGAAATGACTATCGAAGTGTTTTTATGTTATGAATTTCTCACACAATATATATAGAGTTTTTAGCACAAATATAGAGCTAGGTTACATAAAACATTTATGATTAACCATGCTTGTATAGTTGTCACGTTTAGCCCAAAGCCTGAGATCTACCACCTGTTCGCACAAAACAGGTGAATGGAACTCTCGTATAAAATAAAAGTTCGTGTTAATACTAGATTCTGACCAGCGACTTTAGGACTGTTGCATAGTGTCAGATTAGCTACGTGCTTCAGTTTTTGTTCCCGCCTTGATTACCTTGGATTTCGACTCGTAATCACTGGAATAAGGGGTACAAGCTCATTCATTGATTATTATAACAACTAGATTTCTTCATTTCTTTTAGATATGATAGACAAGATTTGTAGCTCAGGTGGATGATTTTGATGTGGTTGTGTTCTCTAAGCTGGATAGTTAATTTGCGAAGCTTTCATCGCCCTACTAGGCGGCGACATCTTCAGCGCATATGCTTCAATTTCTTGAAGTGAGTTTTTAGATTTCTCCACGAGTTCACTGTTAGTCATCTCTCCTGGTGACCTTGAGTGTGATTGGCTGTTTTTGCGTGTTTTCACACCTTCTAGGTTACATGTATTGGAACTGATTGTCTCTTTGACCTGAACTTTGCCCCTTTGTGTATGAGGTTTCTTTCTTATCGGTTGATAAATTTCGTCTATTTGAATGCGTCTATTGATTGATGAATCACTGGAATACCAGGGAGGCTTCTAAAAATTCTCCAGGATTCTTGTTTTTTCCTCTGTCTAGTTTTTGAGCGTTGGTTGTCCCAGTTGAATTGATGTCCGTGGTTGTCTGTATTTAGCGATATCAGGAAGTGGATGTCATGTCTTTTGACGGCTAGCTTATGTTCGTGGATACGAAGACGAAAGGGACATCCACTTTGGCCAATGTAGTGTTTTCGCACTTGTTACAATTTATTTTGTAGATGATGTTGGCTTTAGCTCCTTTCGCTGTTGAGTCTTTTGGTTGATATAGAATTGAGTGAAGTGACTTTGTTGGTTTGTGTACGACGTCAATTCCTGAAGGTTTGAAGAGTCTTGTAGTGATTTCTGAGATATCCTTTATATATATGGTAAGACGATTTTCTTTGTGCTTTCTTTGGGAAAGTATTTCGAATGAAGACATAACTTTGAGACTGTTGATGATAAATAAGGCTCAGGTACCTATAGACTGGTGTGCTGATGGTCGTATCATAGATGACTGTTGAAAATAAACTGGAGACAAGTTATAGGTAAGCATTTAGATAAGTTGTCTGCAGAGTGAGGACATGAGACCGGCCAGTTAGTACGACAATAGTGTATGCAAATTGCTTATCTCACATGCACAAAACAACTAGAAAAAACACCAACATGAATGCAGTTTTTGTATGTCAATCGAAATCGTTGATGAATGACTGTGTTTTTTTTGTCTAAAAACATAACAAGTAGTTATTAAATGCTTATTTTTCTAATTTTTATTCCCCATTTAGTGTGTTGCCAGTCTTTCCTACCTACTTGTGACAGATCTTTACTCACTAATGACATATTTAGGATTTGTTCAGTGGTTAGCTATCGGTGTTTCAGTTGCCATAGTTATTGTCTTTCGTTTCACTCGACCTAATGTACCAAGACCTGTCAAAGTAAGTCTTCTATCTTTAATGATTTTCTCTGCACATTTTTATGGTTTTTTTCCAATGTTGATGTACACTGAGCTTAACTTTTCATGGTGACAACGAAGTTTTCAATAAAAAATATATTATTCATCACCTCTGCGACTATACCGGCAGTAGTTACTATATTATTCTACCTACAATGAAGTAAGGTCGGTGAAAAAACGCTTCCTTTTGATTCGGTAGACGTTTGATAGAACCTTATCAAACTGGTTTACATCAACAATTCGTCTTTTTTAAGACAGACGAATCAGTTTTAGTGATGAATCAAAATTAACTATCCAAGACAATAAATAAATAATGGCCCAAAGTACATCTCAGTCCGCAAACAGTTTTTGAGTCATGTGTAATTCTATCCATCCATTTGTCATGCTTTAGTGCATGTCTGATGCGAAAATAGAAAGTAGTAGGTGAGTACATAATGATAAAGCAATGACTAGTGAGAGGAATTACTTTCAAATCAGTGACACACCTGAAGTCCCGAGTGAAAAACAGAGTTTTAGAGGCACATCACCATTTCGCTCTGTCCCCCTCTCTTATTCGACTGGCTCCAAGATTCCCCATAAGCTTCCATTTCATCCTCACACGATATCTTCCTCATCACTCCTGGACCGATACCCGACTGGTCACTTCTTATTCGGGTTCCACTTGAAAGCGTAACGCGCGATGTCACTCAACGGTCTCCTCAGTGTATGCTCACTTCATCTCCATTTCCTTCTGCATACTTGTCGGAAGATGAGTTCTTGATTGTTTCGTTTTTAGAGTTCTTTATCGCTTATATTTTCTGGTTACCAATTTAATCTTCAGTATGCATCGAGAAAAATCATCTATCTATGAAAATCTTCAACCAGGTACGAATGCTTCCCGTGACACATGACCTAAACCTTTGAACCATACAGAAGCTCTGACTGACTGACTGACTTGACATTAAGGTTGGTAATCCAAATATTTTGATTTATTCTGAGTGCAGCATAATGTCCGTGAGATTTGATTATGTGAAAAGCTGGGGTTTTCAGATTTAATGAAATTTTTTAGTAGATAAGATTTAATTTATATAACACATGAATATCTGGTTCTGTCATTGTGGATAAATGCCATCAGTTATGAACTCACACAAATAAATAATTTTAATAACTCACTCGAATATGATGAGTGTGTGTGTGAGGGGGAGGTGCTAATCTCTTCAAGAACTTCTACTACACTCTGTGTCAATGTTCGGAAGAATTAACCTGATGGGACGATATATGCAGCTGAATTAATTAAAAATACTGAGGAGATTTAGTGAGTAAGGATAGTTATCTTTAGACTCACTTATCAGAGAGGATGATTTTTTCAGTTGCTTTCGCTAACAGATCACTTGTGGTTAGAGTATTTCCAAATACTACAACTCTCAATGCACTACTGTCTTTTTTTTATATCTGATTACATAATTGTTATTATTATTTTGTTTAATGGAGGTGATTCACGACATCTTATTTATTAGACTATGATTAAAAAAACATTTAAAGTAGGTTGTGTATCGCGTTTAATATCAGTGATCTGTAGCATGTAGCTTTGATCTGCAAGAAACGATAAGACCGTTTGGGATTAAAACTAGCATCATCTAGCCATTCATTTTACAGTGAATCGTCATCTTGGTTGAATTACCTTTGTCTACTGGTGCATCGGTGGTTCGGTGGTAGACTGACCATCAACCACGCGCTTAGTCTGGGTTCATTACCCTGCTGAAGCGCCGAGCAAACCACCCCTAGTCGGTAGTAAGCAAAGCAAATAAGAAAGTTCAGTGTAAGTAAAGCCGCCACCCCCACTCCTTAAAAAAGGAACATCACTGCTACTGAGACTTCGGAACTAAAGCTTGAAGTCTTGTATTCAACTCGGAACATCAGCGGATGAGAACAAAATGATCAACAGACAGCAGCAGATACACATGTCTAGATCTCTTAGTACTAGGGAAAGGTATTAGTAATGTTCAGGAAGTCCTTCTATTAGACTTTGGCTGAACTGTTAACTTTTATGACAAATAAGTTCAAAGGTATAGTCATTCGAGAAAAAAAACATGTTTAAAATTTGAATCTCCATATTTTCTGACTGAACTTTGAATACATTCATCGTATTATTGGTCATTTAGTTGAGAAAACAGAAAGACTGAGCGAAGAAATATTTACTTTTCAATTAGATCCCCATCTTACTCTGGCTCTACTCTAATATACACGTATAGCATTTTTATTACAATATACAACAGTTTACCAATCAAGTGGCACTGATATGTTTGTTAACAATAATTAGTCAGTGTCAAAATGTCAGTGGGTTGATGATGAACGCAGAAAATTAGTGCACAAAATTTAGAGGTAGAAATGGTTAGAATAAATTAATTTTACAAGGATAACACGTAATCAAAGATGAAGTGGTCAGAAAAAATAAAACGAAAATAATTTCGACAATTATAATTTTTAAATGTTTAGGGGGAGGGGGATGAAGTAGTCCGGTGTATACAATCATGTAACGATGGCCAAGGTAAGGAAAGTGGCTGTACAAATTTTTTCTGAACACACAGGTTTGGCTTCTTTGGGTGGATTCCTATTGCTTCAGCTGTCTGTAGAAGACGAACGCGTAGGGCAAAATTAAGATTAGTAGGAATGCGATAAATAATGCAGTATTAACGTCAACCTTACGCTCACTATCTACAAGGTGTGCTAAAAGCTAAAATAGAGCTACGAATAGATCTTTTTTGTCCCTTGCTTAACCATGTTGGATGATGTTCGGAAATACGATGATGAACCTGCCTAATTGTAGCTGGCTCCGCAGCTGCAGTCACAATCGTAGATACACATAGAAGAGGCAAATTTAGGTAGTTTATCCTTATTTGTTGAACGTAGAATAGGGGTGGTTGTGAAGAGACAACATACCTCTGCTGCATAATAAGCTCTTTTAACTGCATTCTTCAGGCGCTGTGTTATTATTTCGCTGATGTTGTCACCGAGGAACTGCAGTTTCGTGAACATTAGTTTTTTTCGGAACTGTTGCCATACTGACTCTCTTAGGTACTGAATTCATACTTTTCTCAATGAATTTATCTGGATAACCATTTTTCTAAGTAATTCTTTAATAATCTTAAGCTCCTCATTGAGGTAGTCGTCTGAACAGATTAACCTGGCTTTATGAACCAGACACTTTACCAGGTTACGTTTACATTTAAAAGGTACAAAACTCAAAAAATGAGTGTAGTGACCTGTTGTTGTAGGTTTCCTATACACACTCCTTCTTGGTGTGCCATCTTCTTTTCTTGCCATAAAGACGTCTAGGAGATTTCAAACTCTGGCTTACAGTAGTTTCATAAATGGTAGTTGAAAGCAGAGACTGCATATTGTCAGGTGTTCCAGTGACAATCAAAATTTAACTTCACTGAATAAAATAGGATGTGATCTACTCCACAAAAATTATATTACGAAATTATGCAAATAAGCAAACAAATACATATTCTTTTCAAAAAATTAACATTCTATAGTTTTGGTTTGTAAGGATTAGTTATGTTTTACGAGTTGATCACGGATTGATATCAGTTAGAGAACCATTGAAAACCAGGGAGTACTGGACAGCTGCTGTTTCATCCTAGTTCTAGTGAGAAGTCGTGACCAGTGAGGTCCAATTAGATGTCACGTGTTTGGATGGATGTCCCACCAACGACAATGGTTGGGGTCGCGCTAAGTCACGAATTGGTAGAATTTAGAATTCACGAGCCATTGAATCGGGTCCCAGTGGCTGAATGGTATACGAGCTTGCCTTGTAACCAGAAGGTCCTGGATTCGAATCCCAGTGGGTGCGTACTGCCGATGATTCCCAAACTAGGATGAAACAGCAGCTGTCCAGTAGTCCCTGGTTTTCAATGGTTCTCTAACTGATATCAATCCGTGATCAACTCGTAAAAAATTAACAATCATATTTATTGATTCCTAGCATTGTAGTAGGTGAAGGAGGGTTTGAATTCGCTCTGCGCCAACTGAATGTCAACCGTGCAAGCCAGTAATTGAAAGCATCAGTTTCACCTGACTTCAACAGTTTACAAAGTCAGAAGATCTATGCTTACACTTCGTTTTATCTGTCCCTTTGTAAGTGAAAAGAAGCCGTTAATGTATCCATTAATCAATTAAATTCTAAGTGAAGTGATGAATGGTTAAAGAAAGTTTAAATTAAAGAGAACACGTAGTTCAGCAAAGATAGTGATCTTTTCGGCGATTTCATTTTCAAAAGCAGCTTTACAATCGCATTTAAATACACAAATTTACATAGATACAATTTTTACTTGATTCCACATAATTACGAAGGTGAATAAAAGGTGACAATTATTTTCAACCAGATATGGTTCATGAGAGGCTTAGAAACAAAACTACACAGGATTAGAACGGATTACAAGTGTGTTAAAATGAGCATGGAAACAAATTGAAATATTAATTTTCAACTTGAGATGGGAGTTAGGAGGTGTGAGCATAGATTACAAGAGCCATAGAAACAAAAATTACACAGGATAAGGATATAGCTGCAAAATAGTTATTTTACACGAATTGTAAATGTGAGCAGGAAAAGCATGAAGACAAACTTAAAACAACTGTTCTTATAATTGGAAAAAATAAGGTGAATCGAATGAAGACAGAGAGAGTAAGAATCCCACACACACACAGCGAACCAAAAAAAGAAAAAAAGAAAAGAAGGAAGCTAAGGGGACATACCGAACTATGGTAGTTGTAAAGGTTGGACTAATTTCTTCTGAGCACACAACTCTGGCTTTTCGATGGATATTGTGTGGGCTTCTGAAGTACAGAGAAGTTGGAAACATACTACTTTTGGTAGGTTTCTGTTGACTTTGTAAATTACTTTGAATGAATCAGTTAAAATGTTGTAGGAGGCGTTGATCAGATGTTCAAAACTGGCATTTCTGACTGAACCAATGCCTCCTGTCTAACACGTTTTGAAAAGACGCACACACAACGACCTAGGTACCTAGCTCCGCACGAAGAGGTGAACTGGTATATATACAAAAGCATTTGTACAGCTTTTGAAAATGAAATCGCCGAAAAGGCAAATATCTTTGCTGAACTTCATGTTCTCTTTTTTCTAAAGAAAGTTAGTCAAAATGTCAGTTTTGTTTTAATGAAACTAAACATGATTGTCCAATGACAGGTGGCACTGTTTACAGTTTACAAATTGTAATTTTAAAAATTTTGAAGTATTTAATAAAAATAAACTTAAACAATAGGAGGGTTGTTTTTTTTTCACATCAGAATTAAGTAGTAGTTGTGAAATAATTAAGATTTTTCACAAAATTAACAAAGATTCTTGAAAATAAAAGCTGATTGCAATAAATCATTTTTCAACAAAACTTTTTATTTGAACAAAGATAATGCAGTACTGTAGAATTTGATGACTATGAATTGAATTCCGGTTTAAGTGGCTAAATGATCGATGAGCTTGGTCTTGTAACCTGAAGTTCCTGGGTTCACTCTGCAGTGAGAGTTGATGAAGAGTTCCATACTAGGATCAGATAATTGTCTCACGCGCCCTGGTTTTTTAATAATACTCTGTCTGAAGTTGACTCATGACAAAATCTACAGTGAAATTAATCCAGATGCCTACAGCAATTCTAATCTTGGCAATCAACTTCTTCTACGGAATCATTGAAGACAATGAAGAACTGAAGAGCTAAAAGACTTCAGTATTACGTTATTTATCAGTAGGCAATAATGATTTCAAAAACAGAATCAACTCCATGAGCAAATTGTATTTCGGGCATATTGTTAATTTAAAACAATTAGTTCCCTTTATGAATTTAGATAAAGCAATACACGATTCAGACAAATTACGTCTTCACATATTGTTAATATTTCTATTGCATCAAAATGCATTCAAATTAGCGAAATCGTAAATTTACACTATTATAGGAAGTCTAGTACTTCGTTAATATACGTTCTATAGGTTTTGTAATGACAGAAGTTTCTTTCAAGTTAGTTAAACATTTGAATAGCAGCTAAGATTCAGGGAAACTGGTAATCAATAAATTTGATTTGGTTACACTCAGGACACTAAAATTCCATTTCCAATGGTTCTCTCACCAATGTCAGCTCATGAAGAAATCCCGTAACCAATCAATCAAATGCCTACATATCAATACTTGAATACCACTGAGATGCTCACTGGCGACTGGCACTATTCAGGTAGGTAGTTACCTGGGATTTCAGTGGGAAGTCGTGACCAGTAGGGTGCAGCACGTCGGGTGTGAGGACAAATATTCGCCGAAGACATTAGCTAGGGGTCGCGCTATGTCGTGAATTGTCAGAAGTTAGAATTCAAGGGCCATTGGATCGGGTCCCAGTGGCTTAATGGTATACGAGCTCGCTGGCCTTGTAAGTAGAAGGTCCTGGGTTCCGACCCTGGTGGTGGGTGCGTACTTCTGGAGAGTCCCAAACTAGGACGCAACAGCTGTCCAGTACTCCCAGTGGTTCTCTAACTGATGTCAGCTCATGATGAAATCCTGTAACCAAAACAGGATAAGATAGTCAGCTAATAAGAAGAGACTACATCTAGTATACAATAGGTGTAGGCTATACTGTTGTATCACTTGGTCTATTCTATATGTTGACAACTTTGTCTATATAATCCACTCAGAAATCAGAGGCCATGTAGATGCCAACACCTGGCAGTCTAAGCATTTGATATTTCTGGTAATTTGAGTGTTGTTTTTTATCAGTGATTTTGGAAATGAAAAGTGTTGAACATCAATTTCACTTTGATTGGTAACTTTTAAACTCTGAAAACTTTAGTTACAGTAAAAATTCTATTTTGCTTCATATCTTTGGATTGGAATACAATTATTCTTACGAGTTGGTCACGGATTGATATCAACTAGCCAACCATTGAAAACCAGCCACAGTGAGTACTGGACGGCTGTTTCATCCTTATTTGGGAATATCGGCAGTACGCGCCCACTGGAGCTCAAACCCAGCACCTTCCGGTTAAAAGGCAAACTCGTATGGATCCTATTGCTATAACCGGAAGGCGCTGGGTTTGAACTCCAGTAGGTGCGTACTGCTGATATTTTAAACTAGAATAAAACAGCTGACTGTCCAGTACTCCCTGTGGCTGGTTTTCAATGGTTCTCTAACTGATATCAACCCGTGATTAACTCGTCAAAACAAAACTTATCCTTACAAACCAAATATACAATTATTCTTCTCTAACATGAAAACTAATCACAGAACAAATTATAGACTGTAAACACTACACTCACTGGCGGCATATACAGCGAAACTCCATTTGAGGACTTTTTTAATTCTTGTTGAAGATTAAATAGAATTGTCAGATCAGTAATAATATATTCAATGGATTTCAGTGCGCTAAATTCAAAAATTGTAACAAAAATGTCGGATTGATTTAAACAAATTAGCACTCTGTACAAGATAATCAAATGTTTACAATTTGGTATAAATATTTATTTCAGGAAAAAAGGGGAATTAAATCAATAACCCATCCATCCGATCATTATATTCCCGCTATATGCAAACTTTGTTTTGTTCTTCGAAGCATACAGGTAAAATTAATGTAGAATGAAGATGTGAATATAACTTATTTTGGACAATATTCACTGATAACAACCAGTATCCATGTATTATTTTATTTCACACACTTGGGTGCATTAATTTTCCCTCTATAGATAATTAGAGAAGGAATTCAGTTACCGTGGCCTACATTCAAGTTCCAGGCTATGAGACATTCTTTTTTAAAAAAACAGGATTTAATGAATTCATCAAATTTTGGTAGAACTCTTCATCTGGATACTCTATAAACTAAATTCTACAGAAATTTGATGATTTCAGTAATCCTGCTTGTTTCAAATTCGTATCAGGAAATAAATGTACTCGGTCGAAGACCTAAAAGCGAAAACCGACAAACTGGTCGAAGAAGCAGCCAGTGAAGACGGGACTCCAGGTGAACATAGACAAGACGGAGGTCATGAAAATAACCAACCAACAACAACTGAAGCACCAACATCCAGCGTCAATCACCATCAGCGGGAGGGATTTGAAAGAGGTTACTTCATTCACTTCACTTATTTAGGGAGCATTGTCTCAGCTACAGGAAGTCGGAACGGACGAGGATGTCAAATCGAGCGAGAATCGAGAAGGCGAGAAACACATTCATCAACCTGAAACCGATCTCGAAATCTTCATCACTCAGCACCAACAACAAAATCCCGTCGGATTTTCAATACAAATGTCAAGTCAGTCAGTTCTTCTATACGGATCAGAAACTTCGCGGGCGGGTCACAAGGAATATCTCCAACAGCCTGTTGCAGACCAGACCTTTATCAACCAACAAATGTCTTCGCTGGCTCTATACCGAAGACCAGATGGCTGGGGGCCCGGAAAGAATCACCAACTATGGGAAACAATGGCAGGGAACAAACAAAACAAGAACCAATCGCCAACCAACAAATATGCAGGAGAAAGTCGAGATGGATTGGACACTCGTGGCTGAGGATGCCGCTGGGTGACATCGCGCCCGCGTCAGGCCATTGTTGGAGTGGAACCAGGCCGAAAGGGAAGCGGTGAGTGGATCGTCAGTGCAAGGGTGAAATGGAGGAGTTGAAAGAGTATGGACTAACATGGATGCAGGTGAAAAGTACAGTAGAAGACAGAAGCAAGTGGAGACGTGCAGTTGGAGCCCTATATTCCACTAGGAACCCAAGGGAACAATAATAATAATATATTAGTACTCGATTGTCAGACATAATTCAGAACTGTGTAAAATGAATGCGAAATATGATAACTGCCATAGTTAACTTAAAAACAGGATCCTTGAATCTTTTGAATGTTTGTCAAGCGATCACTTATTTAAGCATGTCTGACTAACTGTGATGTATGCTAGCGAATAAAGTAGTGTGATCAATGTAAATCACAGTCTTGTTACCTCATCTAGTGAACAGTTAGCTACTGAGTTCCATACTTTGATATTTGAGTGTTTTTCGCCCATCCATTTTGTCAACTTCCGTTCATAGCCAATCATCGCAAGTAATGTAATTGCCTCGAAAGTCTGAGATAATTGACGTACAAATTTATCGTTCCGTCATTTTCTTCTAATAAATAATACAGCTTTGGATTCTTCAGTTATTTTGATGTATACATTACTTGTTTTAAGATTACATTCTATTACTAATATTATCTGAGTTAAATAAGTAGTCATTTCATTTCATTTTCATTTACTATTTTTAGGCACCCCTCATTTTCGCAATAACTTATGTGAGTATTACATTCTGTCTGGTAATATTCACACTAATTGGCGCTCCGTATGAATCAAGTAAGCCTTATATTGTGATAATAACAATCAATTTGATGCTCGCTAGTGACTTGCTACACGATGGAGTTTACTGGAGTTCTAGTGAGAAGTCGTGACCTGTGAGGTCCATCCATATGTCACGTGTGAGAATGGATGTCCCACCCACGACAACAGCTGGTGCTAGTCGTGCTAAATCACGAGTTGGTAGAAGTCAGAATTCATGGGCTGGCCAATGAATCGTGTCCCAGTGGCTGAATGGTAAATGAACCAGCTTGACTTGTAACCGGAATGTCGTCCCGGGTTCGAACCCTGGTGGTGGGCACATACTTCCGATGATTCTCAAACTATGACGGAGGAAACAGCTGTCCAGCACTCCCTCTGACTGGTTTTCAATGGTTCTCTAAGTGATATTAATCCGTGATCAACTCGTAATAAAAAGATAATAATCATGAATAAAGTTTTCGAAGAGTTACTTTATGGAAATTTGGTTCCAAATTCGATCACGAATGGATATCATTTAGAAAACCAGGGTGTGAAGAAGTTCTGAACAACTATTCTTGTCTACTTTGGGATTGTCAAGCAGTACGTACTAATTATCACAACACCAAGGACTAAAACTCGAACTTTCAGGTATTGAGGCGAGCCCGATGGTCATTTAGCTAGCCACTAGGACGGAATTCAATGACATATAAACTCTGACTTCTGTCAGCATGCCAGCTAACATTTTTGGACAGTAGTTTTTCCTCATGCTCGACTTCCGGACCCCACTGTTCACAACTTCTCACTAAAACTTCAGGGAACTTCATCCTTAAGTCAATCATTGTTGAATACTAGACTTATTTACAAGTGTTGACTTACAGAGATTTAACTGACTTCACTTAGAAAACCCGTGGTGGAATCATAGGTATGTACTGTTGAAGAGTAGCAAACTGGGACGAAAAGCCTGTCAAGTCTCTATTTCTTGATGGTTCTCTAAATAAAGTTATTCCCCGATCAAACCTGAAACTAATCAATTCTCTGTAAACTACCACTTGAAAACTTACTTTATAATTGTGGATCGATCATTGCCTTATATTTTTGAGCAGAATATTTTCATTAATCAACCTATGTGGTAAGTTAGGTGACAACTGATAATCTATCACTGTCAATAATAAATCAAAGGGATAATAATCAACCATGAATAGCAGGACAACAATTAAAGTGTAGGAATAGTCACTCTGTGAAATTAAGATAGTTGAAACAATATGCAACGGATTTGGCATTCATCGGGTACTGTCTTTGTAGGAAAATTAATTACCTTCAGTATTGAGTAAAATCATGAGCACTCCCTGCTAACCAGCACTCAGTATTTTTTATGGATTACTTGATACTATCTCTCGTGAATTAAGCCACTTAGTAGACAACCCTTTGGTGTTTGTAACGATGGATGTTGGATTCCAGTTTCAGTGGGAACACCATTTCTTACTGTAGAGTTCATCTGATAAGTCTCCAAAAGGACGGAGTGCGCGCTTCATCGCTAGTCACCATCCATAAGATATTATATTACTATTATTGTTTCCTTAAGTTCCTAGTGGAACATAGGGCTTCAACTCCACCTCTCCACTTGCCACTTCTGTCTTCTGCTCTACTTTTCACCTGCATCCATGTTAGTCCATACTCTTTCAACTCCTCCATTTCACCCTTGCACTGACGATCCACTCGCCGCTTCCTTTTCGGCCTGGTTCCACTCCAACAATGACCTAACGCGAGCGCGATGTCACCCAGCGGCATCCTCAGCCACGAGTGTCCAATCCATCTCGACTTTCTCCTGCATATTTGTTGGTTGGCGATTGGTTCTTGATTTGTTTGTTCCCTGCCATAGTTTCTCGTTGGTGATTCTTTCCGGCCCCCCGGCCATCTGGTCTTCGGTATAGAGCCAGCGAAGACAGTTGTTGGTTGATAAAGGTCTGCAACAGGCTGTTGGAAATATTCTTTGTGACCCGCCAGCCAAGTTTCTGATCCGTATAGAAGAACTGACTGACTTGACATTTGTATTGAAAATCCGACGGGATTTTGTTGTTGGTGCTGAGTGACGAAGATTTCCAGATAACACCATAGTAGTACTCAGGCACTCTCAAGGCGTCAGTACTAGAATGTGACATGTGCGTCGGTTGCACAGTGGTTAGGACTCTCACCAACCGTGAACATGGTTCGATGTTCGATCCCCAACCGACGGACACCTGATATCTATGGTCGGCCTGCGAAATTTGGGCTGTCGATATCCATGCTGAAAATTCCATACTTGTACTAAAAATACAGTATGGAATCAAGATGTAATAAAAAATAAAACAAATAAAAAAATACCTGAGACCAAAAATTTTGTTCCATTATAATCACTTAACCAGAAATAAAAAATTAACCTGAACGAATTTTCCTTGTGATTAGGTAATTTGGAAGCTTTTCTGGCGCCTTTCAGTAATGTTGTATACACATATCATTTCTCTTCATGTTTTGATGAAGTATATGTGTTTCATCATGATTCATCAGCGTTACTTAACGTTTTAACTGAGCACATTTTAGGCAGTTTCAATACATATCGAAAATCAAATCCAGTGATTCAGCGAAGAGTGACGAATTTATTATCAAGTTGTACAATCGTATATATATATATATATATATATATATATATTGCTTTTAACAAATTATATCCGGTGAGGGAATTGAATCATAGATGTGAATACATATAAGTATAAAACCTGAGGACTGTGGTAGAGTATAACTCCATTATGGATAAGATTTTATTTTGATAAATCACACAGTGTTGTTACACAGCAATATTAACTGATGACCACGTTTCGAGCACAAATTATTGCCACTCATAATTATATCAAGCCACTACTCACACAACTTTTTCCCTACATTTATATACATGCGTGTGTGGAATTGACTAGATATTTAGATAAAAATCAATATAGGATAATGTACATTCAGAAATAATAATAATGTGAGTGTTATTGATCGATTACAATCAGATGGGAAATGAGACAAGTGTTTTCATAGTCATAAGAACTGCAGATCTTGAACTCACCCATAGGACAAAGCTCCGCATTGAAGAAATTATTTTACAGATTCAGTTATGCCTCATATCTACAATCTTTAAATTTCAAGGCAAAATATATAGACAAACAGGTGTAGCAGTGGGATCACCAATATCGTCTACCGTAGCAGATATATTTATGGACAGCTGGGAAAATATTACTCGTAATACATTTAATCCTACTCCAAAAATATAGTGGCGATATGTGGATGACACCTTCACAGTGTTAAAAACAGAACAAATCTCCAGTTTCTTGACACACATAAACTCACTAGTAGAGGGAATAAAATTCACATTTGAATCGGAAAATGAACAAGGAGAAGTAACTATGTTAGATTATAAAATAAATCGAATAGAAGAAGGTAAACTGCACACTAGTGTGTACAAAAAACAACTCATTCTAGTAGATATTTAGAGTTTAATTCATCTCATCCGTTAACTGTTAAGGCAGGCTTAGTTAATTGTCGAACAGACCGAAAATTAGCACTAAGTAGCACAAAAGAAGACCTAAATGATGAAGTAAAACAGATAGAAGAAGCGTTGGTGTTAAAAAACTATCCTTCAAAGTTCATTAGGAAGATTGAAAAATGCCAAAAGCAAAATAAAAATAATTGTGAAACTATTAGTGATAACATAATTAAGAAAGAATATAAGTCACCTACAGTTATACCATGTAAAGAGGGGATATCTGAGACCCTACGTAGAATAGAAAATAGCTCACCAATTGCACTACATGCATTAACGCATAATCACACAATAGGGGGGGGGTTAAGATTCTAAGAAGTAATCTATGTAGGTGGAGAGAGAGAGATTGATTACTGAATCCTGGTTCATTGAGTCTACACCCAACACAACACGCAACAGAAATGACTCAATGCAAATACCAGAAATATGGAAGATATTATTACCACCAGTCAAGTCAAATCAGAGGAGGATAATAAATAATCTCAAAATTCTATTTCAATCCATGCACATCCCAACATTCTAACAAGTTACTTATCATGACTATGAAAACACTTGTCTCATTTCCCATCTGATTGTAATCGATCAATAACACTCACATTATTATTATTTCTGAATGTACATTATCCTATATTGATTTTTATTTAAATATCTAGTCAATTCCACACACGCATGTATATCAATGAAGGAAATAAGTTGTGTGAGTAGTGGCTTGATATAATTATGAGTGGCGATAATTTGTGCTCGAAACGTGGTCATCAGTTAATATTGCTGTGTAACAACACTGTGTGATTTATCAAAATAAAATCTTATCCATAATGGAGTTATACTCTACCACAGTCCTCAGGTTTTATACTTATATGTATTCACATCTATGATTCAATTCCCTCACCGGATATAATTTGTTAAAAGCAATATATATACACGATTGTACAACTTGATAATAAATTCGTCTCTCTTCGCTGAATCACTTGTTTTTATTTTCCATATATCTAAATGGGAATTTTCCATCAATACGTATCAACACTGTTTGGTGAAACATTGGGAGCTAGATTACGCTGAACGACTGTACCATATATTTGAAGTTGTTTGATGAGTACACTCACGACTCCAGCTAAGGATCAATAGTTCCGCCAAAGCTGACAGTTACGAATTTGGCAAAGTTGTCCAGTATCTCTTAGATTTTTGTAACTTCTCAATTGATGTCGTTTAATAGTGAAACTTACCTAAGACAAACCAATTAAGCGTAATATCAAAAACCGCTGACAGTTTAACATGGATAGTTCGACACCACTCGTATCAACCACCGGTGTCTGCTAGCCGGCCTGAAAGAAGTGATCTAAACTCTGGAGAGCCATTTCCCTCGTTTGAGGCCGAGCTCACCAAAGGTGTACTAGGTGTGATAAATCAATTATCCAGTAGATAGCCAGTGAAACAGTCTCATTTTTAGTAAAGTGTATGCTTAGAACAAAAATAAGTTTTC